GTATTAATATGTCTGTCTAAAGGTGGGTTCATGCAAGACTTAACGTAACTTAACTTAAGAAAATGAGCATTTAAAGCGCATGCGCGGCCAGGATTGCCAATGTAGCAATGGCGACAATATCAACATTGAACACACTAACAAAATCATATGTTTAACGTCAAGGTAGCAGATGAAAGAGTGTTTTGTGGCTTATGCGTCACGTGGACTGGCGGACCAGCCTTGACATTGACAAGTGGCCCCTCCCCACACGCTTGCGCCAATGCACTGGTAATTAGTCACAGAACTCGGATAATAGTCCAGATAATATCGGAACATCTGCTCGGAAAACTCTTCCGATTACTATTTTTGCATAATCTGATTCAAGGACCTCTTAAAGAATATGCATGTGACTAGGCCCAAAATTGCTACAAAAATTGTTATTAAACCGATTCCAAAAATTGATTTGTTCGCTTTGTTTAAAGTATTTTGCGGTTTTTAGGACACTCTGAATAAAAAATGAGATTTAGAACTTTTCTCTAGACTTGATATATACAGGTGTAAGCAATGTAAAAACTCAAAATATGTCATTTGCTATCCTAAAAACAATATGAAAAATGAATATTTTGATGTTGCCAAATCTCACACATGCTTCAACCAACCAATAACAAAACCCCCAGAGCATTTGAATGCGCGCTCAATGTATATCTATGTCTATGTGAACGCGAGAGAGAGATGAAATATCTCTCGTGCACGCTGAATATGCATTGAGCGTCCGCTTGCATATCAATTAAATACAAAGATTTATAATAACAGTATCTCCTAAAAGGTATCGTTAATGGTTATTTATGAAGCATGGCGACATTAACGTTTTCGTTTTTTCAGATCGTTTTTCGGTATCGCAAAATCAATTTTTTTGTACTTTCCCATCTCGTACAAAATCAACTTTTGACAAACATTGTCAAACATCGTTTTGTTTCGGAGTATCAAAAAAAAAACGAATGCTACCTTTGATGAAGCGAAAACATTAATTTTTGTAATTTATTGGAAAAAGTTGTTCAAACAGTTAGAGGCGCAATTTGGAGCCTGACAACATGTAGATTTGTTACTAGGAGGCTTTTTCGAATAACATGCAAAAAGTCCGAATCCGAATATTTTCCTGAGCAGATGTGAAGATATTTCTTGGCCTATAACCTCGACGGCAGCGCCACTTTTCTTGGCTGGAAATCTGGTGGAACTAAAAATATTGAAAGTATGCCGACAACGCATATCAGGAATGTCAGGAATGTGTCGGCGATTTCAGTTGTTTACATTACGAAATCTGACCGACTTCCCGATATTGAGGCAGTTCGATGATCATAGATGCATAACACATCCTCAATAAAGGAAGTATTTCTTTCATCAGTTTGACTAGTAATGAATTTCAGGATAATAAAAAAATGTATAATTAAAAAAATATTTATTGAACAGTCCCAGCAATAATAGAACAAATTCTTCATTACAATAAATTGTTCATACATAGAAGTATTCTACTCATCTGGATTTTTCTCTATATTATGAACCTGATCAGTGCAATATCATGCAAGCACTATCTCTTGTTAATTGATCATGTATATTTATTGCGAAAACATAAATACTAAAATAACAAAAAATACATCTGTAGTTAGAGGACTGACTGGAATACAAATATAATCACACTGATATGAGAATCAAAAATAGTTTTGCGCACACTGTTTAATGGGTAAAGGCAAACAAAATTGTCCTCAACAAAAAAAACACATAAAACACTAATTGTTTCTTCAAACTAGGAAACAAACTCCTTATGTCATTGACAATTAATTTGGTATCCATAAAATAAATGACGATCTTCATTTCAACTGTCTCCTCGAAGGATGTTGACACTGAAACAAAAAAAAATTATTAGCATAATATCACTGTCATACTCGTATTTGGTCAGCAAACACTAAACAGAAACATACTCATCTCACCACGCCCATTCAGATGATACTGCTCTGTACATATGTATAAATTCCCAATCTAGCAGTATACATTTGTTTGCCAAAATTCTGCGTGTAAACAAATTTTCATTGGTGATACCAAACGCCAGTCCTTAATTTGGCCCTTTACCAGATTTGTTATTACCAGCAGTACAGATGTCACAAAAAAAGTTACGTGCTACTCATCTGTTTACCTCAATAAACGTCAAAAGAGATTACATATTTGGTGGGCTGCGAATACACAGCATTCGCCAGGTGTACACCTGTACACAGTGTTCTGTGAGGTTTTGGAAAAACGTCATGGGGGGCATGGTATATACGTAGATTTAAATTCTCTTTTTTCTTCTGTAGGGGCTATAATTTGCCAACATCACCACTGGTACAGTCTCAGACATGAAAGTGTTTGCATCTATCAGCTATGAAGTCAGTACTACAAGCACAAAATTTTAAGATCATTTCCATTTTTTTTTTTCGTTCTCTAGAATATAATTTCAAAATCCTCTATCTTGGTAAGGGGCAATTTAGGACCCATGTTTATTTTGTTCATGCTGTTTTTTGATCTACTTTATGCTGTAGCAATAATGATATGTTTTGCTGAAACTACCACTATACGCACTTTGTTAGGGGATGAAGTAAACATGACCACTGACTTTAATTATTATAATTTTTAACATACATCTCTGATTTTTTTTATCTATCCGTTCAGCTCTAAACTGTCATGCGTAAGCAAGCGCAAATAATTTGTCATAAAACTATCACCGAACCATCTTCCCATATAAAATCGATCAAACATCACGATATAAATATCGACTATCGACTTTTGTACAGTATCGATGGCTCGTAGCCATCTTCTAATTCCAGCTGTAGCGATCAGCTGACCAACGCTAGTGATCCGATTGGTTGGTTCTTAAGATAAAGTTCAATATATTGAACTTTATTTTAAGAAGTGACCTTGAAATAAGAAAACGACCATAACCTCAATATATTTAGTCATTTATGCAAAAATGAACTGATTTGGATACTTACTGCAACGTCATCATTAGGCGCTCTTCTGGCGATGTCCGATTGCGTTCAGGTGCCTTCTGCAGGTACCTCTTCAACAAGCTCAGGAGTTGATACCAGCGCGGCTTTTCGTTTTTTTTTTCTCTAGACATGGCCATCCTCAATTAATCGCACAAAAAACAAGTCCAAGGCAGAAAAACACACCCGAATACGAACACCAAAACAAATCTCTACCGCAAATTCGTCAACAACTCAAACAAAAACAACAGATGAGTCACCGCCTGGCTTTCTCGGTAAATCGTCGTGAAACACGAGACACCACAGAATTATTATAATTACGTCAATACGAGCATAGAACAGTATAGAAAGGGCTATCCAAGGGTAAGACGAGTTCCGAAACCACCCGAATCATGTCAAAAAATGGGTGTGACGTCATCAAAACGTTTGACCACCACTGGAAATCACTAGCTAGTTACCTTCTGGCGGCGTAACATGTGAAGGACACTGATGTAGAAACAGCTGATCCTTAAATTCGGTTACGTTAAGTCGTGCATGAACCCGACATAAGTTACCTACATACCTACAATGTTGTCAGTTACATGAAGCAAAGCTGAATTAGTGCTATGTCCCGCACGAAATCCTGATTGATGAGGAGGAAACAAGTTATTTTGCTCTAAATATTCCACTAGTTGAACGTACACTGCTTTCTCTAATACCTTCGAACAAAAACCCAGCAAACTAACAGGCCGCAAATGATTATGAGTGGTTGGATTTTTGACTTTGGCATATATTAACAATATGTGTTAAATACAATAAAATTTCAGGTAAGCCGTAACCTAGCATGTTCAAGTTAATTTCATCACTCCCTGTAGCAGGTGACTTGATAAAGGTAACTATGTCCAAAACTTCTTCAGCGGTCGTCATCCTAAATGTAAATGGAGTTACATCTTGCCTGTTAAAGCTGTTCTCATAAAACTCTACTGTACTGTCAATCAAACGGGAATTGGTATTAAGATTTTGGTAATTTAACATGAAGTGGTTATTGAGTTCGTTACGGTCTAATAGATCATAGGGTATTTCAATGTGTTTCTGGGGACAAATATTCATTACTCTCAGCTGACCCCAAGCTTTTCTAGAATTGAGACTATCAAAGCGAGATAAATATGCCTTTTTCTCACGCCGGATTGAAGCAAGTGAATAATTTCTTAACTGTTTATACGCTGTCCAATTTTCGTCTGATGGATTGTGACGAAATTTAATTAAAGCCTCATCTCTCACCTTAAGAATGACCTCAAGTGCAAAAGTTAACCATGGAGCAGCTTTTTTGGTGACACGAGCCGTCCGAATAGGAGCATGAAAGTTAAAAAGCTCAATAAGGATTAGAAATTTGGAGGTAATATCAGTAATATACGGCATTTATTCTAAGCCAGCTGCAGACAAATCCTGCTTGAATTTGATTACATCAATGTTCTTAAAATCCCTATAGGTTATGATTTTTTTTGTTGGCAGATATCAGATAGCTTGCTGCATTATTCTACACAATATCGCAAAAACACTAGGCGATCCTGACTTCGAATTGGAAGAAGTGCAGCTTAATAATGCGGTAAATAAACCTGTTGGACAAAATGCAGACGGCGACTTTAACAACATTAGGAGAATTGGAATGCGAAGACGGGAGGAAATTGCCCATCTCATTTTTCAACAGGGAAATTTTAAAGTTATACTTGGACGGCTTTTTGCAGAAAGGAACTAGCCCACAACACAAACCTTATTGAGTTTTGAGTTTTGACAATATTAGAAAAATCATCATAAATTAAAAACAATTTTAATCAATGGCATCTTCAAGGTGTCTAATATAATCAAAATCTTTAAAGGATATAATGCATTATTTTTATGAAATTTAGATTTCCTATTCTTAGTGGGTTGGTTCCTTTCTGCAAAGAGCCGTCCAATTATAATCCAAGACCTGGAACACAAAATTTATTTAAAAGATAACAAATATCATAAATACAAAACTTAAGCATAATCTGAGAGAAGGAATACAAATTTTGTGTACATTTACCAATGAAGAACGAATATTTTATCATAAATATCGCACTCTGAAAGTACGGTAAGGTAGTTTATAACTATGTATACACGTTATCATGTTCTGTAACTAACTCCTCCTCATGCTCATTCTCTTCTAACCCTCTCATCAATTTTCTTTTCTTTAACCTTAAGACTTCCAATTGTTCTAACAAAACTAATCTCTGTAATTCAGCCGTTGATGGGTTTTGTATTTCCGATGTCTCTGGAAGACAAGCTTTTTTCTTTTTCTTTGACAGCGAGCTGGTTGCGGTCTCTACAACCATAACAGATGAGTGAGATTCCGAGGAGATACCTTCTACCGAAACAGCAGTCTGCGTTGGTGGTGGCACGCCAACTTGCACAGCACCTATGAAATTTAGTTTCATAATTTATAGTTTATAATAAAATAAATGTTTGACTCCTACTTGGTATTTTGCTCAAGTTCGGGTTTCTGTCGCCATCCATTAACCTCCAAAATGCCTGTTCCCATGACTTCAACTTTATTTGTTTGTTGCCAGTTTTATTTATATCTGTTTTCTTTTTGATTTTTGTTTTCATGTTATTTATTTTTTTCGATAACTGCTTTACACCTATCGCTTTTTCACTCAACGCCTGCCACTCAGCTTGCAACTTCATCAATGCAGCCTCTTTTGCTTTTTTCATCGTGGGCACTTGCTGAGCTGAGCGTTCTCTTCACACGTCCTACTTTCTTCGTAGAAAATTCATTGCGTTGCTTATTCTTCCACAATCACTTCATAACTACTACAAAAATCATGCCTATTATATTCAACCATAAATACAAATATTTCTGTCTAGACTTGATAAAAAGTATTTAGCAAATGGTCTGAATCACCGAGCATTTACTACTAAGCAAAAGCAATCATTAGAAACGGAGTAAATGCTTTTTCTTCCATCTTTTGCTCCGATGAGTTTGATTTTGCTTTTACTGTTTACTTCAAGCAAATGCTCCATTTTTATTCATCAGACCCGTTATGTTTTGTTGATATTATATAACGAGTATATCACGAAAAACCACTCATTCCCGTCGGTCTATCTGCCCGCTCTTAAAAATTCCAAACAAGATTACTACTATGCCAAGGACGACAAAACTTTTAGCTTTTGAAAATCGGTCTAGCGGTGGCAGAGAAAATGACCAAAAACGAAAAAAAATAAATTTACTCAAATATCGTTTTTTGACGTTTCTGACGAACCTCACACTTTTTTTACGTTTCAGAAGATCCATATCATTATTATAAAATGATTTGCAGGGATTGCACATTGTATGCTGAGGGTTATAGGGAGTGGAGGAGAGCATATGCCATTTTTTGGTTGCCTAGCAATTCATAGGTTTCGAGCCCCGGTAATTCTGTACACCTATTAAACGTATTTCATACAACAGAGATTTTCTCAGTTACATCCGATCACTTTTTTAGACAACTCCACTTATGTTACATTTTATTTTTGATCCGAAGTTCCTTATACACATTTTTTAATTATTCCTATAAGTTTTGTTTCTTATCAAAATTGTCGTTTCCATAAGAATAGGAAACTGTCTAAATGTTACAGGAGCTACATATCTCAGCAACAAATCGCTTGATTCCATTCAAATTTTTGTATCAATATACACTTAACATACAACATGATTAAAAAATCAATGTGAATATATCTAGAGTAGAAAGTGCATCCAAAAATAGCCAAAAAGTTACTATAAGCATAATATGTCCTAAAATACGAGTGCCATTTGATAAGTCAGTGACTTTTTGAAGTTTCCGCGCAGTAACTTTGAATGCAACACTGCTGCCGTCAACTGCCATCTTTTATATGACAACTGACAAAATTTAAACAAGTTATGTCATTTCATTTGAGTTTGACAGCCGTTGAAAGTAGACAGTCTCATAAATTCTAACAAAAATAGAGAATAGTGAATTTCGTGTTCTAATTAAACATTATTTGTTGCGTAAAAAACCATCACTGCAACCAAGGAAAGGCTTGACACCATCTGTTTCAATGGTTTACTCGTACTGAGTTCCGTTGTGGTCCAACCAGCACAAGTGATGCCGAACGTTCAGGTCGCCCAAAAGAGGTCATCACACCAGAAATCGTGGATAAGATCCATGGGATGATATTGGAATATCGGAGAATAAAAATACGTGAAGTAGCTGAGGCTGTACGCATGTCTACTGAGCGGGTACATCACATTTTACATGCAAACTTGGACATGAAAAAGCTATCCGCGCGATGGGTGCCGCGATTACTCACAGTCGACCTTAAGCGCAACCGTGTGACCACCTCAAGAGAATGTTTGGCGATGTTCAGCCGCAATCTGAACGAATTTTTGCGCCGTTTTGTAACTGCAGACGAAACATGGATTCATCACAATACACCAGAAACCAAAGAACAATCAAGACAGGTGAGCATGCTCCAAAGAAGGCCAAGGTGGGTCTGTCAGCCAGCAAGGTTATAGTTACAGTTTTCTGGGTCGCATGCGGTATCATTTACATCGATTACCTTGAGAAGGGCATAACGATCACGGGAGAGTACTAATCAGGGCCGTTATACAGATTCAACGTTGCTTTGGAGCAAAAACGACCGCATTTGACGAAAAACAGATGCTGTTCCATCAAGACAATGCACGGGTACACACGTGTGTAGTCTTGCTGGCAAAAATTCATGAACTGGGCTACGAACTGCTGCCCCATCCAGCCTATTCTCCAGATTTAGCCCCCAGCGACTACTTTCTATTTAAAAACCTGAAAAAAATGGCTGGGTGGTAAGAAATTTGGGTCGAATGAAGAAGTCATCATTGAAACAAACGCATATTTTGGGAGCCTTGATAAAAACTACTATTCAGAAGGAATTAAGAAATTGGAAAAAAGGAAAAGGAGATTATGTTGAGAAATAAAATGCTTATTTGCCGATCAAAGATTTTTTTTTATTTAAAAAGTCAGTGACTTATCAAACAGCTCTCGTATCTTATCTATTTATCTCTACTATCTATCTCTACACTATATACAATTTTCGATTCAAAACTTCACTAAGTTCACCATATTTTTATAAAAGAATGGGTTTAATTTCATTTAGGGTTTTCACTACCACTATTCAAACCAATGTTTGTCCAAAAAGTCTAACAAACATTTCTTAAGAGAAGCGGTTTATCTAAAACTAAATACCTTATTCAAAAATGGTATGGATGTTTCAAAAAGTCGGTTGCGTAGAGAATAATTTTGGGTTTTCTTTCGTAGAGGTAAACATTCTCAGCCAATTAAGCTGACATTTTGTACACAGGTTTGGTTTGCGTGACAACAGAAATTAACAATATGCGCGTGAGAAATTCCATATTGCCATCGCCGCAAACTATCTATTTAACTTGAAAATCGCTTTCAAAATGTTGGTCTAAGTCAACAGTACCCTACTGCACAAAAACTCCTGGTATACCACAGGAATCTGTCTAAGGACCCCTGTTATTTTCATTATACTATATATCTCAAATTTAGAAACAGAGGTACAAACATGCAGCATACAATTTTTTGCCGACAACATTGACTTTCTATTCATTTAGGAGAAATGACTTGGAACAGAGAATAATAACATTAATCAAGATCTTGCCCAAATTGAAAAGTGTAGTAGTTGTCATAATCTCCGTTTGAACCCTCTAAAGACAAATATGTTAGAATAGTCAAATAAACCAAAAATGAATGCTTTAGAAAATAGCATAGACATATATTTGAAAATTAGTAAAATAGTTCCTGTGGATCATTCTAAGAACCTAGGCATTAGAAGCGATGATGATTTAAAATTTATTGTTAGTGTTAGTTCACAGTGCTAGGTTAAATACGGCAAAGAAAAGAAGGAACATAGGCATTAATAATTCTGCATATGAACAATTTTGCTCAAATCGTGATTTTGGAAGGTGAAAATACGGAAAATTGTATTCATCATTGGCTTAAAGCAAATACCTAGTCATCATATGTAAATTACTGCTACTATATGTTTATACCATTATCATTGTCACTATCAAATTTCTCACTCTCCCCCTATTTATTGAATCAAAAGATTTGGAAGCAGTTTTAGTTAACATTCATAGTTCTAAATTCAAGTAGATAAGAAGCTTCCATTGGCTCGTTTCAGTATCCATAAAAAATTTTGGTTTATCTTCATTATTTTACATTTTTTAATGTTATTGTTGGATATACAATTTTGTTGACAAACCTTAGATTGGAACTGAGGAATCAAAGAAACAAAGAAACAAGAAATGGAATGGAGTAAATTAGAATTGCCAGGTAAAAGCCCGACGTTGAGGTACACGCCTGTTCGCAAGGCTGATGACTGAATTAACACTTATGGATAAAGGGATCTGCTCTGCTAGGCAAAGCAAATATTTATTATCGATACAGCATAACAAACCTGCTTGATTCGTGATTCTGCAAAGTGAACAACACCAAACTTTATCTCTGTCAACAATGGCGGAATATCTGAGATTGAAAACAGTGGGACACCTTGCATGAATTCTACTAGATTTTTCTAAATAGTTGTGGTATCCGGTACGTGGCTAACGCAGATACCTAGTTGAGCATAATATGGAAATATCTGTTATTGTATAATTATCACTATATTTGTTCAATAAGTATTTTGATTGATATTCGTAGTTTTCTTTTGCCTACTGAGCTTCCTCCATAGAATCTCGTGGCACTGAAATAAGGTCGTAAGATTACTACTTATGACGAGAAAGTACCTATCCTATGATCCTTTAGAGTAGACAATCTCCAATATTGTGCATTTTTCAGCGATTTTGTTGGATACACATTGGGACTGCTTGGTGACTGAAACAAGAAATGAACTGAGATAAATCAAAATTATCTTAAAACTGTTCAGGTAAAAGCCCATTGTTGAGGTACACGTCTATTCGCAGCACCGATGACTATAATATATAGCACGTATCGATCCAAACATTTACTCTTATTTAATTTAAGCCGCTTTTTGCAATCCACAGAAATGTCCGCCATTTTCGGCAACTATCTGGAACCCTAAGATTATAAGAAACCCACGCACATGTACATGCTTTCTCAGAAAAGTATGAATTTAATGTAAAATGTCAACAACTGACAAACTGGCGGCTTAAAAGCCTGCTGGGCTTGTAGTACGCACTTGCATCCTGACTACTGACTAAATAAATTTGGCGACTAACAAATCGTATACTTACTCCTTCTACTTAATCCGAATTATTTTTGCTAAACGTAATCGCCCAAATCGAGAACCAAGTTACTATTAGTAATGATAGTAAATTTAATACAGGGTGGCCCGTCCATGTGTGGACGGAATATTACTCATAAACCAATACATTTTGGGAAAATCTATTTGTGGGACCTTATACATGACATTTGATGGCACATTTCAAAAATATTGGCCATTATACAGGGTGTCCCAATTTCGACCTATATATCAAAGCTGTGATTTTTCAAATGGAATGCATCAAATTTTATTCCATATTTGGATAAACCAATTCAAAAGAAGAACATTGATATAACATACTATGGGGTTTTGGTGCTACTGAGATATAAGGTGTTTTTTCTAGAAAAACCCCCCAATTCGGCAACCCCTCAGTCCGCCGTTTTGAAATTTAAAGTGCTGAATTTTGTATAAAAAAAAACGTTAATTGTAGTTTTTCTCAAAAATTTCAAATGCATCACCTGTATATTTGTGCAAGTTTCGATTCAATTCCATATAAGCCTCTTTTGATACTAAACACATA